TTAATTTTCACTAATGAGATTAATGTCAATGATTAATTGTACATAACAACATAACATTTATACTGTATAATTAATAATCAATACCTATAGTGTAATATAATATATAGGTATTAAGTTATTATAATATAGTTATATTATGGCTTATATTCCAGTGCGTCCAATATTCTATATCGTCATATGCCATCAAGCAGTTTTTTGTCAAAATCGAGTTTTTTGGTGTCTATCAATAGAGATTTTAATTCTTTATMGATTCCCGTAATATAATTTAAGGTTTATCTCATTAGAAATCCATATAAATTTATAAGAAAATGAGCAAAAAATCAGTATGTCCTAATACTAGAACAAAAAGCAGAAAGTGATCAGGTAACTCCTGGAGTTACTGATTTTTTCTCTAGTAACTATTGTATTCAGAAAACAGTATCTCCAACACATGGCAATTATATCAGAAGTCATTTGGCAGTAAATCCAAATAAAAGTATGCTTTTAGTCTTTTGACTGATATAAGCCAAAAAACAGTAAGTCCATTAAAACCCATAAAGATGTATCCAACAACTTTTTTTTGTGTTCAATAGTATCCTCATGAAAAATACAATAATTTACGATCTCTTTAATGTTTAAAAAATTATTATTTTTACTCTACGGTCTAATTTAAGGTTGAAAACTGTTTTATTGTTTTCTAAAAAACTTAGTGGCTTAAGACAGCAGTATTATAATGCTAAAATACGGATAAGAATCAGGCTGTATATTTGTATTTCCATTAATGGAGAGAAGAACAGAGTCAATTATCTGTCATTGGGAATCTATACGACGTATTGAGATCTTAATCTATGCTCGAAAATATATAGCAGTAGAATACATTTTACGACAAAAYCGAACGGTAATTTGATTACGTTGGGRAATAAAGTCTGAAAAGGTATCCGGAAAAGGTTTTGATTCAAATATACATAATGTTATAAAGGTATTTTCAAGTACTTATAAAGGATAATGGTGAATAAAGGTGATGCAACAATTTCTTAGAACAGATCGAGTGATAATGGGATTTCATATACCGTATTTATCGCATGTGCATCTATAGACAGCATATAGAGCGTACGCAATTTTAGTTTGGTTAGGGTTTTATATGAGTAAATAATTTATATTATTCTTCGCTAAACAGTTTTTATATTAGGTATTAGTTATAATTATAACAAATTATAATCAATAATGAATAAAAATGTATTTTATATCTACTAAAAATTACCAACAATTGATCGACTCTGCAGTGTATTGAAAATTGAAATAGTGGTAAATAAGATTTTTTGTAAAAGGAAGTAATTTCAGGGAGTGTCAGAACCCTACTCCTGCGTACGCCACTGTCTATAGTATGGACCCGYCATTTGTTGCACATATTATACTTTTATTTAAGACATAAGTAGTTTCATCACAAAACAGTAGCCCTTGTGGACCATTTCAAAAATCTGTCGGTTATAATCATATATGAACACATTTATCCACCGAACCTTTCAGCTACCTATATATTRTATATACGTAGTGTATAACTGCAAGACACAAGTGAACGCAGTTGCAGCGGACTTACCTGGATAACATAGCATGGTCGGCGGCGGCCGCTAGATGCGCAGTGACGTCGAAAGTGGCCGCTGCAGCCGCCGCGGCCGCCGCGGTGGCCGGCGACACGGTGGAGCCCACGCTCCTGTGCTGTTTGCCGGCGCCGCCGCCGGGTTTGTCCTTGCTGAGTATGCTCGAAATGGAAAACGACGTGTACGGCGGTGCGGCCGACTTGACAGCCGGCGATTCGCGTCCACCGACACCGCCACCGCCGCCGTTGCCCGTCGTCATCGCGGCCGCGGCCGTCGCCATCATCATCGTCTTACAGGCGGCCGCCGTCATCGGTCCGTTACCGGCACCGGTTGTTGGGCTCCGGTCGTTGGTGCAGCACAACTCGTCGTCGTCGTCGTTGCCGGTCACGTCGATTCGCGGGGACTCGGACATGCCGCGGTCGCTGCGACGGTCGCGGATATCCGCGGCGGAACCGATGKTGACGGAATGTGACGGTAACCGGAACGTTTCGCGCGACGACGTCGGAAACAAACGGCAAAATCCGTTTCTCCGATGACTATTATACCCCGTACTCGTGATGCGCCGTTCGGGTGTGCACCCACGTATAATATTCGCACACGTGTTGCCCGCACGATGGATAAATTTATATAATACTAATAATAATAATAATATTATTATACTATTCCAGGACGATACGCGCGCGTCTTTGTCGTTTTTCTCGCGATATTATGTTATTATTAATAGGACGAACGATATAATGAAATTTTATAATAATATTGTGAACACTAATTATTAGGTAGCGTAATAAATCGTCATCTATGATGAACACTCGCTGTGCGTATAATATAGTCGTCGTCGTGACGGACCGACGACGGTTGTCGGACACGGCGATCGCGGTGCGTAAATCGACTTAGCGATTGAGTGCGTGCGTGCGTGTGTGTACGACGACGGTACGCGCGCGATTGTCGTCGCTGAGCGGTCGGGTGGTTGTACTAACTGATGAGACGACTACGGTTTGCGGTGTCGGAGCACTTAAGCGGGCCGCCGCCGTATTGTTATTATTACTATTACTATTATTATCGTTATTATTATTCCTTCCCTTGTCGGGTTTTTTTCCCTCCCACCCCCACTTCAACAGCCCTACCGATCGACGCCAGTCACGGTTTTTACGGCCGCGCGCGCGGACATTTTAACCCCGCGGCCACCGCCTTCGCGCCGGCGACGCTCCGCCCATCCCCGGCGTAACAGACACACCCACTCCATTGGTCCAAAAACGGATTTCATCCCCCACCGCACGCGTCCGGACCGACCCACCCATCACGCGCGCGTATATACCTATGCGCGATCATATATACATATTATAATACCACCGCGCCTCCGCTGCCGTCGTCGTCGTCTACCCTCGTCTGCCGTCGTCATTTACCCTCGTCTTTGGCCTCGAGTGAAACTATATAATATTGGTATTTAATAGTACGATATATTAGACTGCTAGCGCGTAGGTAAATCGCGACGACGATTATCGGATTCCACTTGAACGTCAAAGTCGCCGCGGCTGCCTCCTTCGAATCGGTTATAATCTACTGCGGCGCGCGGTTTATAGGAGAATAATG